GAGAGGCTGCACGGGCTTTGCTTTCCGCCGGGCCTCTCGCTCTGGGGCTGGGAGGCCAGACCCAACCGTGCGAGAGCAGGCACGAGGGTGGCTTCACCGCAGCGGCAAGACGGCGCTCCAGAACTTGACACCCGCACGAGCGGGCATTTTGGGAATGTACAGCCGCCGTACCATACACAAGGTCTGCTTTTCATTACATGCAAAGCCGAATAGCTGGGCAAGGAAGCACTTTTATTCTCGCAACACTTAGATCAGGTCACATAATAAAACTCTTCTAGAAAACAGTTGAAAGGCCAACCACCACCCCACACCCAGTCACAGGTGCTGGCTGCCACCGGAGCTCCACTCGGTCCCGCGGGCGAAGAAACGTCAGAAGGAAGTTCCGGCCCCATCACTGTTATCTTCTGCAACTCTCGTTCTCCTATAGACGGTAATCTTCGGGTCTGAAAGGCAAAGTCAACATTGACTTCCTCAGAAATAGTCGTTTCGTTTTCTTTGGCCTGATGAAAGGCGATTCCTCTTCTAATTGAAAATAAAAGTAACTACTCACTGAGAAATACCTACCAACACCAGATCTGAATTTTTGGTGAAAAACACTCAAGTCGAAAGTTCACAAAGTGACAGTTCCAGAGTCGTTTCAAAGAACGAATGCAGGCCACCCTGTACCTTTATCAGAAAGTATTAGTAACTTGAATTTAATTTCTGTCCTATTTTTAAATACTTTCACAAAGCCCTTACCGAAAGGATCATTTTGATCTCTAAAAGTCTGAAATTCATTCAGTGATATGGACCACTGTACAAAAGCAGATTTTGAGTGAGTAATTTCCCTATTCACTTTGTTTTATCACGAACAAAATTTCGTTTTCATGATGATACATACGAAATAAACATACAAACAGCAGCCTCTGACAGTTTACACACACACACCTGTCTTTCTTCACTTATGATTCTGTGGGATTAATCACACCTGAAAGGTGCTTCCATACGTAAATTTTAGCAGAAAGAAATTTTAGGGAAGTGTCACCTTGTAACAACAAAAGAAAAGCAGGAAACCGTAAAATGCAACGATCTGTCCTGTTCTCTCCAACAGCGTGCATGTGTTAGAATTCCAGACGGAACTTGCTGGAGGAAGTGGGTACCTAAGCAGATACTCCTGAAAGCAGCTGTCAGAACAGCTGATGGTCTGAGCTCCTGCGGAAGGTGGGCGGGCCGCTTGCCCGAAACACCGTGGCGGCGTTCCCTCCTGCAGCCACAGGGACGCCGCAGAG